AATAATTCATTGAATTTCAAAGGGACAGATCAGAGAACTGAGACCACCAGAGGTGGGAGCGAGAGTTAGCAAGAAATTGGTAAAGAGCCACAAAAAAACAATTACATTGTGTAGTGTTGAATATACTGATTATCCTGATTTGAGTATCACATATTGCACACAGGTATTGATATTCAACACTGTACCCCACAGATATGTACAATCAATTATGTTTCAATAAATAAGAAAATTAAATAAATGAAAACTATAAAGAGTTAAGCAAAAGATGAATTTTTTTTAATGCGTTGTTAGTGAAAAGAGCCCAACATAGGAGAGTGTAGACAATATGCTAATAAAGACAGGAGAGGGGGAATATATATTTATATTCCCTTGTCCTTGCATAAGGAAGCTACAGAAAGACAAGAAACTAATAAAGGCAGTTACTTATGGAAAGGAGCATATGGGGGCATGATCCCACATGCCTCTTTGAATGGCTATGTTTTTGCTTATGGGAATGTGACACCCTCCACCACCATGCACTCTCTCTGATCCCTCACTTGGTTGCTCACCACTACTTGGCTCCTGCAGCTAAGCACACACTCCCATAATCACACCATGTTTCCCCTAGCTCTGCCAAGACTTTGCACACACTGGTCCCTGTGCCTGGCATGTCTCTCTGCAGACTCCTTCCTGTCCTCAGTCCTTAATGCAGGACCCCACTTCCAGCCCCTCTCTATGTTCCAGGCAAGCTGGAGCCGCTGATGGAGCGAGGAGGAGGCCAGGTTACCCAAGATGGGCATAGGAACAGCAGGGTCTTCTGCACCCCCGGCTGTCCTCACACAGAGGCCAGGGGTCGGCCTCCACTGCCATGTCTGCACCAGCAGCCTGCGATGAGTGGCCCGTTGAACGGTGGGGGCACCACCATGGTAGCGGCAGCTCTGACTTCACCCTCTCTTGGGGGGGGGGTCTCCCAGGAACATCCAACCACAGAGTTGTCACTCCCTTTCCCCTCACCTGGGCACATTCTCCAGAGCGTGTACCTCAGTGGGACAGTGTCTATGCATGGCTTTGCCCGTGCCTTGTCTGCCATCCTTCACCAGCTCTGTGAGGGTGTGCTTTGTCCCCAGTGCCTAAGCTGGTGCCAGGAGTTGCT